GCCTCTCCGGCGGGAGCGCTCCGAGTGAAGCGCCGCGAAAACACCCCGGGGAAGGGAGAGGGCGGGAGGTATTTGCAGGACAGCTTTCAAACCAGTCTCTCCTGTGCCTCACGCGAGCGTTTGAAGATGCGGTGCTGTTTTCTGTAGGAAGTTTGCCCTAGCGCTCTTGGCTAAAACACTCAAGTCATATTGCACAGTAAGCCGAAAAGCGTCTGGCTCCTTTCTTTGCCCAAAAGTCGGCTGTGTTCCAGGGATGCTGTGTGTCACCGTTGGCATAGTATCAAATCAAGGCATGGGAAAAAGTGCATGCCTATAAGACATAGATGGCGTATGCCTTTGTAATTCGAAATATACTGGGTGCGTCTTTAAGAATAAGGCAGAAACTTATGTCTAAGTTGTAATAAATTCCTCCTGACTGTGGCCAGCGTGCTTCCTGGGCAATAAGAGACCCTCCCCTCAGTGTTGCTTTACTGGAAGAATCATGGGGTGGAAATGGGAGGGAGAGAAGTGTTTGTGAAGGTGAGTGAACAGCGAGGGTATCGTATCTTGCATTAACCAGCCTCTCCCCAAACTGGATGCTCTTGTGGTAAAGGAGCTGTCTGCACGTCTCCTGTGGAGATGTAAGCTGTTGAGATGAAGTGCTCCTCCCTGATTTCAAGTGGTTTTCTCTGCCCTGACAGGTAAATCCAGGGCCTTTGCCACCTTTTGGAAGGGAATAGAGGTCTCACTGCCGTGTGCTGCGTGTGCTGTGACCATAAGATGCCGAAAGGCAGACCCCCAGGAGAGCGCTTCATGTGCCTTAACCTAAGGAGTTGATTGCAACCTCGAAGCCTTTCACCTCGGGCAGACTAGTCTGGTTCTTTCTCTTTCATGCCTCTGAGGCCTGCCCAGGAAAGCAGAGCTCATGCTGACTCAGTAGTGCAGGAAAAGGGCTCTGTGATTGCTGTACTGACAGAGAATAGTGCTCAGTGGATGTCTCATGTTGTACCTACCGCTTTTCTTCTGCATATTAGGATGTGTGTACCAAAAGAAATCTTGGCTATCCTGTAGTAGGCTTCAACAGATACTAACTTGACAGCTTCTTTTATTTCAGAGTATTTAAAAATGTGGGTTTTGGGTAGGTACTGTCAAAACTAATCTACAGTTTCCAGCTGCTCTGGGTTAGTCTGTTGTGACTGCCCTTGAGTGTTGATGGAATAGAAGATGTGTTAGCTTAAATATGGGGTGAAGATGTAAAGGCGTTTCTGCCAGAGGCTTTTTAATAGGTATGTGAATCCCCTTAGGTTCCAATTAAGCTATGTCAATGGCTGGTTCATCTATGTTTTAGGTATCTTTGGCAGTGTGGATTATTTTTTTGTTTGCTTCTTTGTAAACTGTGCAATTGAGTAAAATGGGAGTTGGACTTGATTCATCTTGTGTTACAGAATGCTTTCTAATTAGTGTAGCATGTATTGCTTGTTGGGCTCTAGTGAATGATCTATAAAATCTGATAGAACTGATACTTACCAGGCTATCTTGTGTCTAGGAATGTGTGTTTAGCACCCTGAAGTATTTTTGTGAAGTTCTTTAGTATTTGCTGATTTTGCTGTTTCTCACATTGCCTGGGACTAAGTGGGGGACATCTCTCTGGAGAGCAGAAGCAGGCTATGGTCTTGTGAGACTGTCCTGTATGGGCCGTGTCAGAGATGTGCCTGCACCCCCATTCCTGAGAAGTGCACGTCCCTATGCCACGTGTAAATGGATAGGTACCTTTTTCTCACCTCCCTTTCTTAATGTTGATCCATATCTCTTGTCCTTTATTGGAAGTTTGGCAGTTAGCAAGCCAAAGGCAGCTCCTGCCTTCCCCAGTACACCATTTGGGGCTGACCATCCATCTCACAGTAAATCTGTCACTGTATTGATTCAGCTGAAGGTGCTACTAGGCAGCATTTCTCCTCTTCTCCCATCATACAGCAGAAGTCCCAGCGAAAATGGGGTGTCTTTTTAAGAGTGGTGCTGCTGGTGGGCCAGCCCAGTTGGACCTTGGCTGGTTGCCCCCCTAGTTGGATAGCACTTGCAAGTTTCCAGTGCTTCTCCTGTGTTAAAGGGTGAAGACCTCCTAGAGACGCAGGGGTTATCAGCTAGCCTTGAATGGGGATGGCATGGCCTGAGTCTGTGCACAGGACATGATACAGTCCATTTTCATTCTGGAGTCTTTTCTCTCCCAGCTGTGATCCCTGAACCCCAAAAACCCATTGAATGAAAGTGAGTGGATGAAACTGGCATGTGTAGAAACTGATACAGTTCTAGTTGGAGCTGCCTGAATTCAATATCAAATACTTGCTTCACTCATTACATACAGCTTTTTGATGCAGGGAGCCCAACTGATTTTAGAAGAAGCCAAGATTTCATTATGACTCTGCCTGGTACTGCAATTTTTGCCTCACCACAGCACCTTCTGCACCTTTGCAGGCTGACTACTTGAAGATGGAAGATTTCTGGGTCTTCTCATCCCATGCCTCTCCCTGTAAGTAATAAGGCTATATTAATCTGTATTCCCTGTAATCTCAGAGCTGGACTGTTTGGGATCTAAAAATGGGGAATTGTTACTGTATTAACTTTTCACCTCAAAATTCATGCAGGGTGGTCTGTATCATCAGAGGTTTTTTTTACAGTGTTATTCAGATGCCTTGGTAATAAGTGAAGCCATTTGACTTTCCAGAGAGCCCTTTGACACATGAGCTTACAGAATAACTTGGTTTAGAAGAGCAGATCCTTGAAGTTCAAGTGCCATGATTCTCCTGAACCACCTTTCTTCTTAGATTTTAATTGTTCCTTTTTTTTTTTGACTCGTTTTTGTTAGTCATGCCACAAAACTGCAGATGGTGAGCATTCTTGTGATAGCTGCTGTGTGAATATTTTGCTTTGTTCATGTTTTGAGTGTTCCCTGTGAATTAGGCAGCCTTTTGTTTTCCCTTGGCACTTAGAACGCTAGAGCTCTTGTTAGCCTATATGGAGCTCCTTATTTTAATGAGACCAGCTTCTCTGCCGGGTGTTCTGCTGTTGTTTTATTTATTTTTTTTAATCAATGAAGCCTCTTACTGTGGGTCTCTTGAGACAATAGCTTTCTTATGCCAAAGGAAAATGTATTGCCCTGCACAAAGCTGTGGGAAGCATAACATGCTCATTAGTAACGCTTGGTATATGCCCTGCCCTTCCCTTGTTCATTCATAGAAGGAAAATGACATCAAGGAGTGGATATCTCTTCTCTTTTTTTTTTTTTTTTTTCTCTTCCCTAGAAATAAAAGGAGTGGGAGAGATACTGTTTGGAACATCTCTGATAAAGTTTGAGAAGTACTAGCAGTCCTAGCACAAGGAAGTGGCTTCAGCCCAAAAACTAACTGGTTGCTTGTTTGCTGATTGTAGAGGTAAGTTGTTTGAAATGCATGATTTGTGGTCCTATGTAGTGTGTGAGGTTCAAGGCAGTGGGAAGAAGAAATGGGGAGGATACAGCACTGTTCTTTCTGGGTAAGAGGAAGGGGGGGAATTGTGCAACAGATGGAGGAGTAGAAGAGAATGCCATCTGTGTATAAAGTGTAGGCGTCTGGGGCAGGAGAAGGAAGTTATTTATTTTTAAAGGAAAACAGATGAGTTAAAGCTGTCTGACAATTTCTGCAGTCTGGGTTCCAGCTTAATCAGTAAGATGAAGTTTTATCGTGGTGATCAAGTGGAGCAGCAAGAAATTGTTTCAAACTTCAGGACACAGATTGGTACATTCTGAGGCTGTAATGCCCTCCACTACCACCGGAGAATTATTCTGAGGTGTTCCTTCTGGTATGTGTGTATGCAGCTATCCTGGTAATACTGTGCATCTCTAAAATACTGTGGTGGCTTCAGGTGAGAAAGGGTTGATTTTAGATTGTCTATAAAACATCCCTTAAGGATTGTTTTGCCATGGAATCGTCTTGATAACCATATTGCTGTGATAGTTTGCATCATTCTGTTGAAAACGTTTATGCTAGCTGCCTGGAAAGTCAAAATCCCAACGGAAATTAATTAAAACATTCATTTCTCTCATGTATCTATGCAAGAAAAAAATCACATTCTTCAAAATTATTTCCTATCTTTAAGATTTTCATAATCTTCAAAGTACTTAATGTAAACTTAGAATTCATATATATGTATGCACAGGTATACAAGACACACTTGTGACAGCTTAGAAAGAAGGGGTGAACACCAACACTGATAAATCCAAGAATGAAATATTTATATTTCTCTTTGGCAAAGTAAATGCCTTAAAGCTCCTTAAATCATGCAAACCTTTGAGTATTAGTTGTGTATGAAGTTAGTTACTACTTGGTGCTGTAATAACTGCTGCATTATTTGAGGGTGCAGAACTGAAGTTGACTGAACACCAGATCAAAACCTTAGCTACTACCCTCCTTACTGGTCTGTTCCCCATTAGGCTTGTTCTTATTTTTGCGGAATAGTTAGGTAGGTTTTTCTTGGGATGTTCGGGAAAGCAGAAGGGATTGTATTAAAAATTCTCTTCTCTTTCCCCAGGGGGAGAAACTAATGTAAATGCAGGTGACCATGCAGAATGCAGTTCAGGTAAATGCCTTTTGTAATGTTTCAGTACTGTATAATACTTTTTTTTTTTTTAATGCAACAATCTACCCTGAAGCAGATGAGATGCTAGAATCACCAGAGTTATTTCTAGTTTAAGAAAGTTATATTTTTCACATTTTACAGATGGAGCAATGTGACAAGATAGATAAGTGTTATACCAGATAATCGATCCTTTCTCTTCATAAACACTAGTAGCTAACAAGGTTTTGAAATCAGAAATTGAGGTTATTTAAAAACTTGCTTGATGATTAAGGGTTCTCTTTTCTAGTTAATCACTTTATAAAATACATGTATTTTTATTTAACGCACGTACTTCCTGAACTGAAAAAATGAGTTAAGTATACCAGGACACTCTCTTCGGAAATTTTGTACATGAAATGTCAGTGTTTTCCTTGTCTTGAAATATGAAAGTACTTCTCAGTTTGAAAATATGCAATCCTTAAAAGAAATGTTAAGGATTCGTGTTAAAGAAGTGTGTGATGTTCTTGCATGGGGAATATGTTTCCTTTTTTAACATTGTCATTGTGATGATTTAAACACAAAATGCCTCTGAAATGTTTGAACAGAGGAATTGGTAGTCTACAGTAAATGAAATGATAAACTGCATATTTCACTACTTAAAATATGCTAAGGAAAAAAACCCAAACCACAAATTTTATGCATGCTTTCTTTAATATTCAGGAAAGTATGTAATTTTAAATTCAAAGTAGTCGAGAATGAATGTAATAGTACTTTTGATGTAGGAGTTACTAATAAGAGCTGCACTGTTTGTGATGACTGTTCTGTTGGTTTGGTGTATCTGTCTGAAGGGGAACGAACAATAATAGTTCTTCAGCATAATTCCGAACTGCAAGTTTTTGTCATCTGACTGCAAATACTAGGGCTTGCTGTCTTCTGTTTACTGAAATCTTCTGCAGGTGTGGTTTGGTGATGACCTTCCCTTAAGTCCCCGAAGTCCTCTGACTCCTAGACATGGGCCAGGTTTGGCAGATGTGTGCCTCTATGACCAATGGATATCTGTGCGGCATGAAGCAACTTTGGTGCCTATGCAAGAAGATCTGTCAATCTGGCTGTCTGGCTTGCTGGGTGAGGCTAAAAATAAAACGCTGTCTAATAAATTTCAAAGCACTTTCCAATACTGCAGTCAATGCTGACAGTTAGCATCTATAGTGCTATTAAAATCTGGTGTATTTGAGCCTTGAATGGGTAGGAGAATTATCTTAAGAATGCGTGCTTTGGTTTTGGATTTCATTAGCAGTCACGTCTTAGAGGTTATATGATTAATTGTTCTAATTTATGTTCCTGAATCTTGTTAGTCTATTTAAGGTCTAAGAAAGTGGATATTTTATTTTAATTTACTTACATACTTCTACTGATTTTCAGTCTTTCATACTGGAGTTCTGTTTGAGTTGCCTCTAAGTTCACATGAAACTTCTTTAACTTCTGTGGATTAACTCTAATATTGACTTTTTTTTTTAGGAATAGAAGTCAAAGCAGAACAACTGCTAGAAGAACTTGATAATGGAGTGCTACTCTGTCAATTGGTTGGTGTTCTTCAAAATACAATTAAAAAATGTTGTAGCTCAAATAATTTAAGGGTGAGTCATACTGTCTTTTTTTAATACATATATAAATTCTTCAATTCTAAGTGGTAGTAAAAGGAAAGCAGGCGAATAATGCATCCCAAAGTAGCATTATGTGTGCTGAGTATCCAGAAACTGATTAACAGTGTGGCTTTATAGATGGATGAACTAGCGTCATGAAACAAATTACATATTTGCTTTTTTAAATCAAATCCTAAGGTTCTTACTAGGGTTTTAGTTTGGTTTCAGTAGAAGCCTTGCCAGAGGAATATGTAGCCCAGGTGTGGAGTTTGTTCCCCTGGCATCAGTGTGTGCTGGTAGCAAGATATCTGCTGGCACTTGGTGGTATTATTTATTCCAGAAACTGGTGGCTGAACTCCAGTAAGCCATGAAAAATATCCAAACTGAGTTGCACCTGGAGATGGGCTTCAGCATTTTTCTTAAGAACCATGACTATGTTGAAACATGAGCCTTCAGCAACATTCAGTTTGTTTGTACAATGAAAATACTGATGTGTCGCTTTGGACTATAAATCATGTAACACTGGTGCAGGTAGTTTATGTTCAATGTCCAGGCACCCTGTATAGCTACAGCAATACTTGGATTTGTCAATTAGTAGGTGACTAGCTAATGTGCCCTGATTGGTAATGTTTTCCTTGGGGGCCAGAAGCACTGTTCTGCCATAACCAGACCATTGGTTTTGTTTACCTTTTACTGTTTATCTAGTAAAACATTCATTTTAAATAATGGTATTTGCCAGTAGGTAATGTTACTAATATTAGAATTATTGTTAACTGGGGCAAACAAGACAGCAATCTTAGGATGCCAAATAGTGTTCATACAAGAGCCATATGAATGCTGCAAATCTTTCAGGTTGTGGAGGACAAGATGCACAACTTGTGTATCTTTGAACTGCTTTTTTCATTTTGAAGATAACAGTTAAAAACAATAAGTACCCAACTGCTTTAAAGAAAACTGCCCCTTGCTTCCTTTTGATTCCCTCTGCTTTCTAGAGCAGGCTCTAAAATGTTGAAATCTGGCAGCTAAGTATAATTTAGTTGATTTGGGGTTCTCTAGCTGTGCTTATTCTGCTGTAGTGAATGGAGCTTGGGAAGGGGCAATCATTACCCAGACCTGTGAAACCAGCAATAAAACAACTGCCCCAGCATGTGGGGAAATCTGGAAGCTTTGGGAGAGGCTGCAGAGCTAAGGATCATTCATTCAGTGACTGTTCGCAAAGATAAGGTGGAATGCCTTCTACATTAGTATAGCTTTTTTAGAAGAGTAAGTGATGAGTCAAACATAAAATAGCTACTAAGCACTGTTTCTGTACTCTGAATTTAGGGTTTATTTTCCTTTGCAAATATACTTTGAAATCGGTTGGCAATGTTGATGTACACAATGTACTTTTTGTCTTCTTCCTTTGCCAGAATTTTCCTATGAGAAAAGTTCCATGTAAGAAGGATGCACCATCAGGATCTTTTTTTGCCAGAGATAATACAGCCAACTTTCTTAACTGGTGTAGGGCCATTGGAGTTGATGAGACTTATCTCTTTGAATCTGAAGGTTTAGGTAAATATCTTTTTATAAGACTTGCTTTGATCTGTATGTGGATAACCAGATGGTCAGGGAGATCTCTAGTGTATGGTCTTTTGAAGCATTTATCATGACCGCCTGTCTTGTGCAAGCTGTTAATGCTTTTATTTTATGGTAGCATTCAAGTAAAAGCCTTGAAAAATCTGTTCAGTAAGTGCTCTAAACTTGTATGATGCTTTTCCAAACTTCTAAAAGTTGCTGTGTGGGATGAAGTGGGGAGTGATAGCTGTGCAGCAAACTCATGTTTTCCTTCAGTAAAAAGGCCCGCTGAGAAAAAGAAGAGAAAACTGGTTTTGCTTTCCCTGTGTGGGAAGACCACAGGGCCATGGAGTCAACTCACAATAAGATCCTTTATTTGGTATTAGAGCTCCATTCTTGTTGCAGAAAACCCTTGGAATAATGCATTCGTGGCTGCTAAGTTTGATAATTACATGGAGGCATTGTGCCTGAAGTGGCAATGGTCTGTTGGTAATTAATATTTACTTCAGGACCTACTTGACATGGCACTAAATCATTTGTATTTTCCCATTTAATAAGATAGTTATAAATATTGCCAAATGTATGTATGCCTGCCCCAGTGCACAGTCTGTCCCTTATAACAAACAGATTCTAAACTGATACTTCCAGATGGAATAAATTCTTTTGACTGCTAATTAAGAGGAACTGTGCTTTCATCCCATGGTAAATAGTGAAATGTTCTGCCAGCTATTTTATCAGTAAAAGTTAATTAATGCAAACATTCCTGTGGCAAGTGAAATATTGTTTCTTGGTTTTGTTATTTTTTCCCTTTGTTTTTTTACCTTTTGTTTTCAGAAATCAGATGAATTTGTCACAATATTTACTCGATTTTTCTTTAAGTTTTTGTCATGTAATGCTATTTAAATGGGAGACACTGCTTTCATTACACTGCTTTTCTTTCAAGCTCTCCTCCTGGCTAGTTGGACTGCTCATGCCTTCTCTACTTGATAAGTCATCTTTTAAACTAGTTGAGAAAACATCCTCATTTGCATCTGTCTCATCCTCATTTAACTACTGGGCATATCTTTTTTCAGTGCCATAAAATATAGATGAGTGTGAGAACTGAGATATCAGGAAATTAATTTTTTTTTTCACTTGTTTGCATTAATTACATTGCTTAAATGTCTTGGTTCCTGTAAGTGGATGGGTAACTAGAACCTGTTTAGCCTCCCTGAGATAAGCAGACAAGATTTCTTAATGCTGTGGCTTTCACTTAGAGCCAAGAAGTGTTTTGAAGTCTGATTGTAGCTCTTGACACAAGCTTGCATTATGGCATAAATTTCTTCTGTGAGCTTTTTTGGCAGTTGAAATCAGCAGACTTGCAGCTTCCTTGATGAAACATTCTTTCCACTGATGTTCTCTGTCAAACTTTCAAACCATTCTTTGTGAATTAAGTAGAGGAAGGGCAATCTGACAGTTGCCTTTTTTTCCATCAGTTACATATGGTGATATCTCCTGAAAAGTGTCTACTTTGTTCTAGATTTGCCCTTCAATAACCAGATCTTTTAAAAAGTAGACTTGCAGACTGGAGTAGATGATGTAAGAACGTCTGACTTGATACTTGGCTTATAGTTTAGAAAACACTTCAGTCTTATTTAAAGCAAAGTTGTTTTAAATATCAAATTGGACAGCAGAAAGATGCTAGATTTCATCTTTAAACATAGAGCTGGCTCATTAGTTTTTTTTCTTCAGCATGAATTTCCAGTTTCTACTGAATATTGTCGCTGCATGGTGTGAAGAAAATCAGACTTGTTCATATAAATGTTACACCATATTAAAATTGGATCTAAGTTTTTTTTTTTCCCCCTTTCTTATGCTTGATGGTAGTGGGGGAAAGAACAGTGCCATGTGTGATTGAGGGAGTTTTTCCTAGTCTTTGATTCGGCATTATTCCTAGTTGGCTAAGAAAACAGGCATGGTTTGTTTCCTAAAGCATTCATACAACTGTTCTTAGAATATGTTGAAGCCATCTCAATTTTGAAGGTCCTGTCTACAGGACGAAGTAGTTACTTGTACATTACATTTTTAAACTACTTTTTCTCTGTTCATGGCCTTGTTTCTTTTTCCTTTGTCTTGCACACCTAAAGATGGAAGTTTGAAGAAATGAAAACCAACATTGTTTTCTTTCTGCCTCTTCCATTCTTCAGTGCAGCAGTAGAAATAAATGAATATTTTTCATTTCAAAGTTGTCAAGAAAACCCAGAAGACTTGCCACGGACACCATGTGGCTGTCACTTCACTCTTCATCTAGTTCTTCAGCTTTCCTGATGGTCACATAGTGTGCCTATAGAGCCAAGTGCATGCAGCTGCTAGAGCTGCTCTGTTCGAGAGGAGCAAAGCAGCTTTTGCACTGGGCACTAGCTGGGTTAATGTGGGCACGGTCTTCAAGAAGCACAAAGCCTAGTGCAGAACTCTGCAGCTCACATCTGAAATAATGTTGTTCCTTCTGTGTGGTCGCAGACAATACCTGATGTTCAAATCTCAGTGTTTGTCTCTTTAACTGATCTCATTCTCAGTTGCTCCTTACTGTCAGGGGTTTTGACAATCCTTTTCAGGTACAGCCTGACAAAGATACTAAATTCTGAAGAGAAACCTCTGGATGGAAGGGTCAGGAGGTGGGGGCCAGTAGAGAGGGGTGAAATGAGGGTATAGCATGGGGTAGGGGAGCTGCCACTGGCGAAGTGGAAATGGGTGAATCTGCCGTATGGACGGACCCTGCTGGCACCCAGAACTCTTAAAGTGATAAGAAAAAAGGTCTGTTGCTTACTGAAATTGTTACAATCATTTGGATGACTCTTTCGCAGCCAAGTGCTTGAATCATTGGTTGCATAGCAATCCCTTGTCAGCTAGGACCTTTGCAGTATATTCTCCTATGGTTGTTCACCTGTAGAGGGTGCATGCCTGCCTGTGTCTGTATGCATGAACAGATAAGAGTGCATTTACCTATTTGCAGTTGCTAAATGCGTTTCATCTTTAAGACTGCAATAATGTATTTAGGATAGGGAAGGGAAAGCTCTCTTTCTTTCCAGTTTCTTTTTAGGAGGTAGAAAAGAGCTTGGACTCAGGAGTGCCAGGATGGGTTTAAACACTTTTATGGAATAGAAAATTAGAGTTAAAAAGCATATAGTGCTTTATCCATGATAATGTAGCTTGTCTCTGGGTAGGATGATGGCAAAGTTATAGGCACCTGTTCCATATCTTTTGTTCCCTATACCTATTTGTACAGGCTTTCCCACAGTAAATACAAATTTCTTTTTTTTTTTTTCTTTTTAGTTTTGCATAAAGATCCAAGGCAAGTGTATCTTTGTCTTTTGGAAATTGGGCGCATTGTATCCAGGTATGTGGTCTGCACATGCTTCTAACAGATTGAAGAAAACATTCTATTAAGTAAAAGCTAACACAAAGTTAAGGTAATCTGTGGTGATTAAATATAGAATCATAGAATCATCATGGCTGGAAAGGACCTCTAGGATCATCAAGTCCAACCTTCACCCCACCATCTCCCTAAACACTAGACCATAGCCTCAAGTGCTATATCTCCTCAGTTTTTGAACACCTCCAGGGATGGTGACTCCACCACCTCCCTGGGCAGCACCTTCCACTGTCTAACCACTCTCTCAGTGAATAAATTCTTCCTAATATCCAATTGAAAACACCCCTGGCACAATTTGAGGCCATTTCCTCTTGTCCTATCATCAATAATTTGGGAGAAGAGACCAACACCAGCCTCGCTTAGAACCTTGTTTTAGGTAGTTGTAGAGAGCAATAAGGTCTCCTCTCAGTTTTCTCTAGACCAAACAACCTTAGTTCTCTCAGCCAGTCCTCATAAGGCATGTTTTTCAGCCCTCCCACCAGCCTTGTTGCCCTTCTCTGGACCTGCTTCATGTCCCTCATATAGTGCAAAAGTAATGAGCAGCTTTTCTAGGATCATCATACAATATGAATATCTCTTTCAAATATTTATCAGACTCTTTTCACAGAGAGTTTCTGATCCATACTGCTTTTTATAGCTGAATGTTTAAATGCTTCATTCTGCTCATAGATAGGTGTAGGTCTTAGAAGAACTCACTGAACATTTAATCCAGCTTTAAGGTCCTGATTTTTAAAGCTTTTTGGCAGGTATCTCATTGTCTAAATTTAGACTTAACTTATTGCTATTGCAGATCTGGAATCCTTAACATAGTTTACCTACATTGGATGTGACCCAAGTCATGTAGTTTTGACAGTATTTTAATGCTTTCCCTGGGAGTTCCAAGACTACCTTAGGGAAGGCTTCTACTAGAAACTTGGAGCTGCTCCTTCTCTTTGGATTATCAAGGCAGTTTTAGTGCCTTTTTCTTTTTTAAACCTCTGATTTACTGCTATTCTCTGCCAGTCAAACCACTCAGAATTTTCTGTTTGTCATAAGTTTCTTTTTGTTTTCTTGAGTAGATTAGCAGTTAAACTCTACTTTTGTATTTGAGGTATGGAGTTGAACCTCCTGTACTTGTAAAACTAGAGAAGGAAATTGAGTTAGAAGAAACGCTGCTGCTGACCTCTGGACCACCATCACCTATTAGCACACCAAAGTCATGTTCTCACCATGGGGAGCTACATGAGGCAGTGAGTACTTATTTATTTTGATACGGGCTTTAAATCAAACTCTTAAGTTTAGTACTCTTATGATCTGCTGTAATGATCATGATAATGATTATTATCAGTAAATAATTTATCAGTAAACATAGGCTGCTTTTCATCTAATATTTGTGAGACTCCTTAATTAGAAAACAGAAGGGTATGGACCTCTTTTGAACAACTTTTTTTTTTAAAAAATATAAGCAAAATGCTGTCCTGTATGTTTTGGAGTTAGTGCCTCAGTACATATAACTTTCCAATCCCCCCACACCTCGTTGCTTCTTTGAGTATGAGAAATACTCTCATTCGGTTTTTCTGGTGTGTGCATTCCATGACTAACGTATGCTTCTCTTTGATTGGATGTTTTCAGAAAACTTCATCAAATGGTGAAGTAGACTTTGAGGAAACTTTTTTGAAAGACTTTAAATAAAGCCTCTGTCGCTGTACCAATTGTACAAATAATTTCTTTTTTTTTGCATAGATATTAACCTCCCTCTTGTGAGTTGTCCTGAAAAGAATGATGAACAGCTTTTCTATTTAGATTAAAAATACATGTTGTGACTTCAAAATTAATTTCTTTTAGAGGTCCTCTGTGTTGTAACATAAAACTTCTGCTTCTTTTGGAATATAAGAGATGAGATCCTCACACTTTCTGAACTCTCACCATCTTTCCTGCTTTGCAATAGTCTTGACCTTCCAATTTGTTGAGTTTCTAAGTGGCTTTAAGAGACAAACCTTCTCTAACCCTGGACTTATTTTGGGCCTACCTTTCTCCTTTTTTTTTTTTTTTTCAGTGGTTTCCTTCTTAGGTGTCACAGAAGATTAACTTATAAAAGCCTTCCAAAATGTTAAGGAGAATACTGAAGTAGCCCTGGGTCAGGTGTAGCAATATATTTGGTCACAGGAGAGGCTCAAGCACTTGTTTCAATTTCTAGAGCTCATAACAGTGTCCTTGCAAGGTTGTGGTTGGAATTAAAAGTGAGAGTAGAAATAACATTGAAGAAGTAATGAAATTTGTATTGGAACAACTTGAAATACTTGGACATACAGTTTGTTCTTTTAATCTTTGATTCTACATTTCAAAAGTCTGTGTAACTGAGATTTTCTTTTGAAGGAATAGAATTCTAGTGTTTTTATAGAATATAGGATGAAGATATCAGTATTTTTTATTCTTTTAAATATCTCAATAAACCAGTAAACATGTGCTTCTGTCAAAATACTAACAAATGCTTTAAATTTTAATAACTAGGTTAAACATATAGCAGAAGATCCTCCCTGCAGTTGTTCCCATCGATTTTCAATTGAATACTTATCAGAGGGACGTTATAGACTGGGAGATAAAATACTCTTCATACGAGTAAGTAGTTTCTCAGTTTTCCAATTTATATTCATCATGAAGAGAGAAATGCTTTTAGGTGGAATGCCTAATTTTTATTGTTTTAGAATTATGGAATGATTTAGGTTGGCATATTGTGTCATCCTGATCCCCTATTCAAGGTAGGTGTAGCTACTTAGATCTTACAACTATTGATTTTACAACCACACTAAACTTTGGTAAGTTAATGCTTTTCTTTGGTGATTCTAAAATTTCAGTAGCAGCTTGCAAATAAATACGGATAATGCTATAGAATATCAGTAATCTGTTGTTGAAAATCCAGACGCTTGAGGTTTATAATTTGGATAGTTGAGCACCCTTTTCAGCAGGCGTAAGAGCCTGTGCTATGAGAACATCTATAATTTGAACAAAACCTGTATACAAAACTTTAACCATTCTGTCAACATCTTTATTTAGTATAGATGACTGTTTCTGCAGGAGAAACTAATAAAGGAATTGGGAAGCATAAACCTTACTTATCACATAATTTCTGGGGTTTTTTTAAATGTTTGTAAGAAAGGAGGCCCTATTTTTAGTCAGTTTCAACAGATGTTAATGTAAGATGAAGACATGATGCTGCATAAAACAAGACACATTCCTTTTGTTCTTCTCCTGCTCCCACCTCCATTCTCAGATGCTACACGGCAAGCATGTGATGGTGCGTGTTGGTGGAGGCTGGGACACTCTTCAAGGTTTTCTGCTTAAATATGATCCGTGCCGAGTGCTTCAATTTGCAACGCTGGAGCAAAAAATCCTGGCGTTTCAGAAAGGGGTCACCAGTGACAGTGTCCCAAACTCCTCAGCTAGAATTCAAGAGCCTCCTCTTATGAATCCAATGTCAGCTGTCAATATATTTCAAAAGCAGGCATCAAAACCTCCTACTCCTGTTTCAGCTCTCAGGGCCAGTGCTAAGAAGGCTTTATCTAAACGTCCTCAGTCTCCTGCCCTGGCATCACCAAAAGTGCCAGCAACTCCATCCTCCACAGCCAAGTCATTGACAGTCAGGTCCAAATTACAAGGGTCTTCAGCGACAGGTGTGCAGTCTCCTTTTAAACCATCAGCTGGCACCTCAAAGAAACTGGAGTCTCCTGCACACAACTCGCCAGCCTCTGCTCTTTCACAGCCTGTAAACAAAAGCTCTTCATCTGCAGGAACAAGAATGGCTCTCGTTCACTCTGAAACCTTGCGCAAACGTATTCGGTCCCCGGATTCTCCCAAGGTGAAATTTACCCTGCCTCAGGGCAGCCCAGCACTAGCGCTGCATCCTGCCCTCTCGTCCTCTGGAAGGCAGCCATCTCGCTTGCCTGGGACAGCTGAAACTATGCATTCAAAACAGAAGCATGTCCCAGCTAAATGCAAACCTGCATCTGTCACTAAAACCAAAGGGAGTTCAGTTGCTCGGAGGGCTGCTCAGCTGCCTGTTACAAATCTGCGTGCTGGTGCCAAGATTGCACATTCTCAGCAGCTCCTTGCAAAACCACCTGAAAATGCTGCTCAGACCTCAGGAACTGGGTCTTGGCATCCTCAGAAAGCTCCACAAACAGCCTCTGACCTGGTAAGGAATCTGAAAAATGTTTCAGTCCTGAAACACTCAGCTTCTTCACCTTCCCTTGCGGTTGGCCAAGCATCAAAGTCACAACCTACACTAGTATCTACAAGCAAAAATGTATCCTCAGCTGTCAATAAGCAGCCAAATGTCAATAAGCAGCCAAATGTCAGTAAGCCCCCTCGAGTTGGACCCAGTTCGTCCAAACCTCTGGAGCGCACTCCCTTATCTGTTGTACGGCTTCCTCAAACTTCAGCCAAAGTGACAGTGACCAAAAAGCCAGCACAGCCTTCCACAAAAGGTCAGCCTTCAACCAAAACCTTGCAAGCAAATGAAAGCCTGGCCCCAGCAGCCAAGAAGCCTCTCTCTAAGGGAAAATCAGCAACAGCATGTAACAAAGGAATGCCTGGTGCATCAGATGGTCCTCTTCTGAAGAGCAGGCAAGATGATCACTACTTTGTTATGACAGGGAGTAAAAAACCCAGAAAGTAAATTTATTTGTTACTTTCTGTGGAAGTCTTCACTTTGTTCAAATGGATCTCTTGTATCTGTTACACTGAGGATGAGGAAAAAAGTTAAATAACACTACATTTACTTTGTAATATTAGGTATAACCTATGTTTTGCTACAAAAGTAAGAACTGTAGAAAGTTCTTCTGGAGTTTAGAACCTTCTATTTGTACATATTTAGAAGTGAGCTTGCTTGCTGTGTAGCACCATGGAATAGACAATATCCCTGTTTGCTGCAAGGAAGGTGGGAAAGTGAAACTAGGGCTGCTGCTTCTACTGCTGCTCATTTTCAAGGGAGTGAAGCTTACCTGGTGAAGCTCGCCCAGGAAGTGCTGCTTCAACCCAGGGCAGAACTTGAGTTTTTCTGGTGGTTTTGGCACATCTTCATCAAGGCTCGTGGCAAACAATGGAGCTGTGCACAAGCTGTAAAATTTCAAATACCTCAAACAAAACTATGATTTTTAGTTCATGAGTGTCTTCCAGAACCCAGATTTGGGCCATGTGCTTGTATTGTAAAGAGAGAGCATTCTCTAGTCGTGTTTAGATTTGGCAGTTGCCATTATTGGCGTTCACTGTGCCCCCCATATGCCTTCAAGTGGCTTCAGCTTGCTTGGAAGTGGTTTCTTGGTTTGTGTCAAGTTGGACATGGAAAATCATGGCCTTTATCACTCTCTCATTGTGCCTTAATCTTTCAGATTCATGACAGATGTCTTCAGTGAGCAGTGCTGCTTCTAAAACCCTAGGCAGATAACCTTGTTTAGTTCATGTTCAAATCTGCCCATGAGCTCAGTCTTTCCTAGAAAGCTCTTGCTGCATGCAGAGAAGCTCCTGAGTTGTTGGGAGAGTTTTTTTTTCCCTGGGATGGAGCCCCAAAGGAGCTCCTGCTCCTGGGATGGAGCCCCAAAGCAGCTTCTGCTCCAGCAATGCAGAGCTGTGAATACTGACCTGCACTGGCAGAGCCTTACTACTCTGCAGGAGTGACCTTTACAGGTAAAAGTGAATTGCTAAATACTTCTCTCAGTGCTACAGGTCAATTTTTCTGGGCAGTCTTGGTCTGCAGTGGCCTTTTTTTTGTTTAATTTGTGGAAACCTCCTTACTGGCTCTCTTCTGGCGGTGAGGAGTAGCTTCCAAAAGAGGTAATGAGGGACTGACTGCATTTGTCTTTAAACGTCTGAACTTTCACATGCCAGAACTCCATGCACTGTTTATGCTCTCAACTCCTGAAGGCTTACAGTGGGTTAAGTATCTGTGGTGCTTAACATCTTTAACCTTAACATAAGTGAGTTTCATAGTAGATTAATAAAAACTGTCTTTGGGCGTAGTGTAATTTGGGTTATTTTGGGTTTAATCAACAGCTGTTCCTACAAATGCTGAGGAGCAATCGAGGTTTGTGAAGAGACACTGCTGACTTCCATAGCTCATTACTTCTGCTTTCCTTTCCTAAGATATTTACTCATGGGCAGGATAAAAGATGCACAGAAACTGCGATTTTTGATGTTATTTTTTTTTGTTTGTTTTGCCTCCTCGAACTAGAGTAAGCAAGCATCATAAACTGATTTCATAATCATGTGCAGTGGCAAAGTCACTGAGCTGCCTTTCTGAGCACTTTGTTAGCTTTTTTTATGATACTATTTATGCATAATCTACTGTACAATACTGCTTACAACCTTCTGGGAGTAAACAGTAAATACCAATATCCAAGCTGTAGTCCCAGACAAGTCCCACAGTCTCGCATACAAAGTTATACATATGGGGAAGACCTTAGGCTTGCATTGTGTATTTATATATACACTGGTAATAGCCACTGCTGCAAATGTTAAGAGTAGCATTGACTGCAATGGACTGTTTTCAGGTTTGATAAATTTGGCACACGGTTTCATATACTGAAAGCCTTTTACAGCAGACTGCTTGCTTTTGATTTTAAGCTTCCAAATAATAAGTGACTATGTGATGTATCTTGTGCAGATTAGTAGCTGACTTCTTGGGATTTCTCTCTGTACTGGATCTGGCCAAGATGGAGTTAACTTTCTTCATTGCAGCCCATGAGGTGCTCCATTTCAGATTTGTAACTAAAACAGTGCTGATAACACACCAATGTTTCCACTGTTGCTGAATGGTCCTTGCACAGGGTCAAGGTTTTTTCTTTTTCCTGCTCTGCCCCCACAGTGAGTGGGCTGGGGATGGGCAAGAGGTTGGGAGCGACATGTCTGGGACAATCAAGATGAAATGGCTAAAGGGCTATTCCATATCATAACGCCCCTGCTAAGGCAGGTTCACCTGAAGCAGGTTGCACAGCATCGTGTCCACACAGGTTTTGAATATCTCCAGAGATGGAGACTCCACAACCTCTCTGGTTTCCTTCACTTATTAAACTGTCCGTATCTTAACCTGTGAGTTCTCTTGCTTTTGCTACTCCTTCTCTCTTGTCCTGATAGGTATGGAGGAGGGAGAAACAGAATGAGCAGCTGTGTGGGTGCTTGGTTGCTGGCTGGGTCAACCCAGAATGCTTTTTGAACTGTTCACAAGGTTTTTTAGTAGTAGTTTAAACACCGAGACTCCTGGACCTCACTGTAAAACTATCTCAACATCTATCTTTTTGAACTATAACTTCAGAGAAAATGAAGCATATGACTTCATTTTTTGTTTCATTATCTTACGTAATACACTGGATTTTATAATTCAAAATGAAACAAAAAAATGTAAGGTTTTACAGTTGAAACCTTGATCAGCTAATTTAAAGATGTCTCACTTGTTACATATGGGTAGGCTTGGTTAGGTTTTATTACAAAAATAGTATGTTCGAACATGTTCAAACTTCTGTGAATATTGCAGTCTCTAACTTCATAGCCATATTCTAACTACAGGTGCCATGTGAGGTGAGCCAAGAATAAGATGTAACAAAGTACCTCTTAATGGAAAGAAATCTTTTTGCAGTGTTTACATTGCTAAATAGCAAGTCTAATATTGAGCTTGCATTATTTTTTGTTGAGGGAAAGATAACATTGGAGCAAGAATCTGACTGAATTCTCTGTTATCAATGTCCTTCTGTATGAGTACTTATTTAAAATAAATGATTACTGCAACTTTTTTACGTGCACGGTTTGATTTTTTTTATTGTCATCTTTTTGCAGGGAGAGAGAGAGTGAATGTGTACAAAGTGCAGGCTAATCTCTGCATCCTTTGCCATAGATAACAGAAACTTAACTGGTTTTATTGAGAGGAGAATTGAGTCTTCTCACTTATGTGATTTAGGAGTCACCTAATTACCTTTTTTTAAAATATCAGATAGGGAGGAAAATGTTTTAATACCTGCAGCATTCTGTCTGTTCCAAAGTGGCTTCAGTTCCTACCAGTCTGATGCTGGTGCCTAATTGTATAGATATACTTACCCTTCCGCTTTAGCTTTGACTAGTAAGGGCATTCTACAGGACCAAGCCCTGCAGAGAGGTTAGTTATAGCTTTCTTTGAAGAGATGGGGGTATTACAGCTGACCAATAAAATACAAAGACACTCCAAGACCTCTCAGGTAAGTGTCCTGACCATTGAACTACAAGGTTATGCCTCCTTGTCCCAGGGAATCTTAAATTGCGTGCTGTCCACCAGGAGAGCTTTAATGGAGATACAGAAGCTGTTTTCTCCTCCCACTCCAGAGCCGCCTTCATTGTTGGTACGTATTACACGTTCTGGTGAAGTTGCATCTTTTATTCTGAATGAGGGTAAAGTGAAGTCTCCGCCTGCTTGGATTAGCTGTGTAGCCTTTAGACCATAATGGAAAATATGGGATCATACACACTTTTTATGGGTAGGTATATAGTATTGCTATTCGTTTTTGTTGTCGGATATTTCTGGTTTAGTGGGGGTTTGTTTTAAAAGAGCTCCTTTCTAGTATCTAGAGTTCAAAGCCATTCTTCTAATTCAGTGGAGAGGCAGTCCTGAAGTCTTAAGCTCTTGCTTCTCAAACTCAATTCATCAGTGTAATTTCAGGTTGTGGCCCTGCTTGCAACTAGGTAATGGGCTAAACCTATGCATCCATCAAAATCTGAAGCCTCTCTGGTGCATCCTAGGTGCTCAGTTCAGGGCTCCAGCTACTACTCCCACATGGGGCTCCTAACCTGGGGAAGCCAGGCTTTTCTACAGTGTACCTTGTACTGACAGTGTGCAATTCACCAATAAAATATCCTGCAACCACATTTCCTTTGCTGGAAATATATTGCTGAGTGCAACTGTCGTGCTCTTCACAAAGATACCCATACTTTTCCAGTGTGGCTGTTATGTTATCTTGTACTTAACAGATTTCCTACACTAGTTACCAAAACACTATTTCTCAAGCTACTGTAAGTCTGTCAGAAAAGCAGAGTTTACTGTATTTTGACAATTTACTGCAGGTACTCAGCAAGAGTTCAGCTGTTTTGTCAATGGAACATCTTTCTTTTGTCCCTTTCGTTTTCATCATGATTCCTCTAGCCCAGACGGATCTGTTCCCTGTATGCTCTATGGGTCTTATACATCTAACTGCAGCCCTTAAGTCTCTTTGCATCTGTTGTTCTGAAGAGAAGGAAGGAAGGACACTTGCTAGCGTTTATGCTGGAGAGATGCTGCATAGAGTGAGCCTGCCTGTCACTAGTTTGTGATAGTGTGAGTTAGGTAAATAAAGTTTATGATATGCTTTAATTAGATTTCCTTTTCACTGTACTAAAACTTGAGGGAGACAAAGTACATTCATGCTAAAGATTCCCATCTAGTTACCTCAGTCTAGTTCTTTCAGCTTGTGTAGGTCTTGCATTTAAGCCAGCAGCTTTCTTTGATGCTATTGCTGTCAAAGCCTTTTGGTAGCCAAATGTATGCATGGGATCAAGTACCTAGAGGACTTTTTTAGGAGCCATACTGAAGCATGCAGAAGAGTTCATGTGAAGCTACAGATCAATCTTTGGTGTGTGTGTGTGGTGTTTTGTTTTTTTGTTTTTTTTTTTTTTTTCCCCAAA